GGGACAGTGCGCAAAAAAAAAACCGCGCATGTATCCGGCTCCTTCTCTCCGGCCTGGTCCCCACGCACACAGCGCACACCTGCAGCGTAGATGGCCCGCTGCTGGCCGGCGCGTGTTGGTGGGGGATCGCGAGAGGGACAGGCGCCAAGAGGGAGAGAGGAGGGGGGGGGGGGAGGCAAGGAAGCAATGCTGGAGGAGGGGAGCAGGGAGGGGGAGAATGCACTTGTATGCATACCCATCACCGATCTGTGTAGGGGATATGGACTACGTGCGTGCGTGCGATGGCAAGCGCGAGAGGGCATATGGGGCAGAGAGGAGGGAGGAGCAGATGCGCAGGGGCAGGGTGGCGCATGCACATTTGTGGCCCTGCCTTCGCCCGGTCCTCTGTGCCGGCCTTCTGCATGGGATGCACCGCAGCAGCGGGGGGAGGAAGAAAGCGACGACCCAAAGCAGGTCACATGAAGGGCAGCTATTGCGCATTACTCTGTCGAGGGCATTGATGATTGAATTCCGGGGGGAGAGGGGAATACCAGATGTTGGGTCAACACAGGGCATGTGTGTGTGTGTGTGGGGGGGGGGAGCAAGGGAAAGAGTACAACCGGGCAAAGGACAGAAGATGGGAGGTGATAGAGGGCGCACGCTTGACATTCTGGTTGAGCCAGGTGAGCCCCTCCGCCAGACCGGTGCCCTGGATGGCGCAGCTCGGCTGGACATACCACTGGCGATCGGTGAGCTTCTGAAGACCAAGGCGCTCGGTGATCATGGCCGGGGTGGCGGCACCCTCGATGTCCTGCTTGTTGGCGAAGACGAGCAGCACGGCATCGCGCATCTCCTTGTCACCGAGAATGCGGTGGAGCTCGGTGCGCGCCTCCTCAAGACGCTCGGAGTCAGCCGAATCGATCACGAACACCAGGCCCTGGGTGCCGGCGTAGTAGTGGCGCCAGAGCGGGCGGATCTTGTCCTGACCACCAACGTCCTGGCGAAGTGCGCGTGTGTTGGTCCCGGGAGTGGGGGGTTAGCGGGGGAGGATGACCGGAGGCGGGATGCAGTCCACGGAGAGGGGGAGAGGGAGAGAGAGAAGGCGTACCCAGACATTAAAGCGGACGTTCTTAAAGGTGACAGTCTCGACGTTGAAGCCGACAGTGGGAATCGTCTGTACCGACTCACCAAGCTTCAGCTTGTAAAGGATGGCTTTTGGGAGTGGCGCACCGTTGGAGGGAGGAGGGTAAGCACGGGCGGAGGACACGCATCGGTGGCGGAGCAGCGGCATGCAGGTAAGCGGCTGGGCACGTACAGGTCTTGCCGGCGGCATCGAGGCCCAGCATCAGGATGCGGAGCTCCTTGTTGCCGAACATCTTGGCCAGCGCGCGGCTCATGCCACTTCCCATGGTGGCTGGTAGTAAAAAGAGACGTCGCGGGGTCGGGGCGACGACAGGGGGAGGTAATCCAATGCAAGGGGGGGGGGCAGGTGGATATTCCTGAAGGAGGAGGAGAGGCAAGCGAAGGCAGGTGGTCTCTCAGGGCGATCCTACACGCGCGGAGATTACCGATTGGAGAGGGAGGGGGGAGGAAGAGGCGAGCGGAGAGCGCGCGGGCGAAGGGGCGAGGAAAGGAGGGGGGGGGGTGTGTGCAGGGAGGAATATGACTGCGGATGGGGTCGCCAGCGGACGGGCAAATGCCGGGGCAAAAATCTGCCAAAGCCGATGGGCGAAAGCGGGGCAACAGGCGGGTCCCGCGGACCGGGCCCTTGCATTTCCCCTCGGGGAGGAGGCAAAGAGCCTTCCGATGCGCGTGCATACTGACTAACACGCACGCACCCGCGCCGGGAGGCCCATATTTGCCCAAAGGGAAAAAGAAGCCCAACCACGGAGCTCCGACACGCCGAGTCGGTCGGCCTACACGCACGAGGCACTGTCTCCCCAAAATCCCTTTCCCACCGGCTCCCCTCGCGGGCTCGCTGTGAGACTGCGCCCAAAACCGCAGGCTCTCTCTCCCAGGGAGGGGGGGGGGGGGGGGCGCCGGGTGCCGGGGGCGGGGGGAATGGTCGTCAATCTGGGTCTCATTTACCTTCGGTCGCCTGGCTCAGGCGAGCCCCGGCGCCTCTCTGTGGGAGAGCTGCATTTCCTCCCAGGTGTGAGGGCTGGCCAAAGAACCATGGCGTCGCCCTGGGTTTCCCTCGCCTGTCGCCCGGGCCGGGTGCTTCTCACCAATGCAAGGTGTGCCCTGGTTGGGGAGAAAAAAAGCCTAGGGTGCCCCTCGCCCCCCCGACCTGGTCCGGCGCCCTGGTTGATCAACCCCCTCGCCCCCCCCCCCCCGCTCCGCCCCCCGTCCCCCGGGCGCGCCAGAAACGCATGGGGTCCGCCGCAAGTCGGTGTCTCCTCCTTTACGTCTGGAGGAATGAAACCACACCACCACGGGCCGAGCCACGCCGCGGGCTGGGAGCCAGCCGGCGGGGGCCCCTCCCCCCTCTGGAGTCGAAAGCCACCTGGCCGGTCCCTAATTTCGAGCCCAACGGGGGGGCGGGGGGGGGGGGCGTCCTGGCGCCTCCCCCAAGGGTCGTCGACGAACGAAGCCCATTGCCTCGGCCGAGGGCGCATCCATTTCTCCAAGGAGCGATGGCGTGACCAGGCCTCCGTCGGAAAAACCAGAGCTCCACACCGGGCCGAGGGCAGCGGTAAACAATAACAATAGGCCGGGTGCAGGACGCTGCGCGCGTGTGCGCGTCCCCCCCCCCTCCGGGTGCTTGGAGGCTGTACCTGCGGGTTGGGTGCCGTGGAGCCTCTCTTCTGCTTCTTCTTTTTCGTCGGGTCTGTCTAGTGCTTCAACCTGCGACCGCCGAACGCGACCCCCATGCTGCCCGGCCTCAAGGGGGCGGGCCTTCGCCCTCCCCCTCCCGCCCCTCAAAGATGTGTGGCCCAACCGCGGGGATTCTCGACCAACGCATCGGTCCCTGCAGAGGCTCTGCGCGCCTCTTTCGGTTTCGTGCCCGTGCTCTCCTTCCCTCGACCACCTTTTCCCCCGGCCCCAGCTCGCGGGTGCCGGTCCATTTCCCGCAGCGCTGAGCACATTCCTCCACGGCCACGGCCTGCTCGCGGCCATTTTTTGTCCCACCCCTTTCGTCATCGAAACTGCGGCCCCCCAACGCGAGCATGAGGCCGGCCCCGGCGGCCCGCGGCTACTTGGGCATGCCCACGAACATCGGACCCCGGCGCCTCGAGGGCCGGCTTCAGGAGGGGGAGGAGGAGGAGGAGGAATGCGCAGAGCCCCGCCGGGGCGCACGGTGACAATGCACCTGCAGATGGCCTTCGCCGCCGGCCTTGTCGCTGCCCTGTCCGCCCTCCGCGCCGCCAGGCCTCGGAGTTTCATCCCCCTCCCCCCCCCCCCGGGGTGCGCTCCCGGCCCCGGGGGCGGCCCGAGACGGAGGAGCAAAGGATCGCATGGGCCATGATTGCGGGCGGCCGCCCCGGAGTGAGGCCACCTCCCCCTCCCCCCGGAGAGGTCGGGCTCACTCGGTGGAATGTGCGCTCTCGGCCCTACAGAGCCCTCCAGTGAGGTTACCCGAAAGGGGGCACACTCAGAGAGGAGGCAGCAACCCACGTCCCACCGGATACCTGGCGCTTTTTTGCGCCGGGGGCAGCTTTTGCGTGCTCCAACGGGAGGGGGGGGGGGGAAGATCCCAAGCTGGGCCTCCCCCGCGCCTTTTTACGCAAAGGCGCCAAGTTACAGCGCCCTCGGTCCGGAGGCCCCGCCAGTGGGCATATCGCCGCCCCGCGCTCCGGGGCGAGGCTCGCATCCTCCCAGCCGGCGCATGTAACGGTCGTCCGGGACCCGCTCGCTGACAGGGCGGGACCCGTCCCCCCCGCCCCCCCCGGCCCCCCTCCCCTGTGAATGCAGATGTCCCACCGGGGAAAGGACTCGGGGCGCGGAGGGAGGCAAGGGCGACACGTAATGCAACCTCACCCTACTCCGGCTCCCCGATTGTCCCAGCGGCCTTTCCGGGAACATCCCACCACTCGGCCGCGGGTCCGGGACATTCGCCCGACACCCTCGGCCTAGTTCCTGGCGCTGGCGGAGCACCAAACTTCCCGCGCGGAAATGATGCCGGGGGTGTGTACTTTGGCCCTATGTCTCTCTCTCTCTCGCTCTCTCTGGGTATGCCCCTCTCTGGCCTCTGCAGCTCTGCCGCCCCCCTCCCCCCGCTCCGCCCCTGGCGCCAGGGGAACCCAGGAACCCCGCCTTCCCCAAGGAAAACTGGCCGCGGGCCAACCCGGAGCGCCTCAGATACCCGCCTGATCTCCGTGAAGGCGTGATACCCCGCGCTCGGATAGCATGGAACGCCGTTTCGGGGGGACGACATCAGATCCATCGCAGCCCACGATCCGGTTCCCCGCCTGTGCCAGACTCGCGGGCTCCCCCCCCCCCCCCGCGCCCCCGCGTCCCAGTCGGAGGGACGACAAGCGCCAGGCCATGCGATTGGCCTCGCCCGGGGGTAGGGTCGGCAACGAGTGAAGCGGGCCCCGACACGCCTGCTCTAGCCAGGCCCCATTGTTAGCGGTCCGGAAGCGATTATACCGCACTTTCCGGCGCCCACGGTCCTGGGGGACACGCTCGGGGATGCGCCCCGGATGTCCGACACCCACCCGGCGCGGTGCAGCGTGTGGACCTCACCCCGAGCCATCTGGCGCTGTGAAACCCCTTTTGCCCTCCTGATGAGGCGCCACATTCGGCGCCCACACGCCCAGCAGCATCGCGCCAGAGATCCTCCCTCCCCTCTCGCACCCCCGCCCTCTCCGCCCCGCCTCCCCCCCTTCTTCCCTAGACCTCCTTCCCCCCTCGCCTAGGAGAGAGAGAGAGACACCCCCGCCGTCTCCCGCGCCGGTCGCCCCTACCCCGCCTTCTTTTTTTTTTTTCTCGTCCCGCGTCCCCTCCCTCGAGAGCGCTCGCCAGCCACCCGATCCAAGATGGGCCTTCGCATTCGCCTCATCCGCCGCGGCGTCATCCACCGGCCGACCTATCGCATTGTCTGCGCCAACCGCCACTCGCGCCTGAGCAGCAAGTACCTTGAAGTGATTGGTCACTATTCGCCCGTCCCCAACAAGGGTGCGCTTTGTCATTGGCCGGCCCCTCCCACGCGGCGATTGCCCCCGGAGACTGACCCTCCCTCCTCCCCCGCCGCCCTTCCCCCGTCACCCTCCGGCAGAGGGTGTCAAGCGTGTCATGCTCAAGGAGGAGCGCATCCGCTACTGGCTTGCTGTCGGTGCCCAGCCCTCCGATCGTGCTGCCTGGCTCCTCGGCAAGGTACGCCCCTCCCCCC